TTAATTAACATATAATAAGTCTTGTTTGTGTTGATGGTTGTTTGATTTGCATTTCACCAGTTGCACACCTTCTGGAATTCGAGATCAATAACGTTATTTCTAAGAACTTTGAAAAGATTAGTGTTGTCCGCAAATGAGGGAAATTGAAAAGGCTGGTAGAGTTAGCAGTATCATCTATGTACAAGAGGAATAAAATTGGGTCGAGAATCGATCCTTGTGGAACATCATAAAAGATATTGTGGGGCGACGAAGTGCTCATGTCAATTACAACATACTGCTTGCATCGGAGAGGTAGTTTGTAAACCACTGTGGTACTGTACCCCTAAATCCATAATTTTCGTGTTTACTGGCTAATATACTATGGTCAATGGTATCTAATGTACCACTGTGGTACTGTACCGCTAAATCCATTCATAATTTTCGTGTTTACTGGCTAATATACTATGGTCAATGGTATCTAATGCTTTTTTAAGACAATAAATATACCATTAGTGATATATTCACTGTCGAGATCAGCCAGGGTCAGTTCAGTATTGTGTTTCTTTCGAACACCATACTGGAGTATTTCATATTTTGTCTATGTATTTAGTCATTTGTTTTCCGGGACTTGTCTCAAAACTTTGCGTATGACAAGGCGCATCGAAATAGGCCTGTAATTTCCCACAAATGTGCGGGGTTCTTGTTTAAATACTGGAGTAATCCTGCTATTGAGCAGATAATGATGGAACCAGGAGAGCTGCGATGATGAAAGATGACTGAATTACAAGTTTTGAGTGGATTTGGTCGTGACTAATAGACTTTAAAGGTCTGAATAATTGATCTTGGTGAAGATGTCATAATCAGAAACATGATGGAAAACGAATGAATTAGGCTGGCGTCTATTGAGATATCTTACGATAGCTATTGTTTGTTATGTTAGCAACTCGATTCGGTCCAATGTTAGAATTCATCAGCAGTGATGAGCTTCTGTGGAATGTTATTAGTGATTTTCTTAAGAATTTCATTGTTTAATTGAGAGAGCCACCCACAAAACTCACACTGGACAGGGGGTTCTTGGATGGGGTAGACAAGACAATAGTACTGGAAATGAAATACACATACACCAAAATATCGAGTTAAAGCTCCTGGTTGTAGTACCTCTCAAAATAATTACAAGAAACAAAGCACAGAAAAATACAATGGATAAATTCACTAAAATAGGGGATTGTCTAGGGAAGTGTGCATTGGTGATAACTCATAGTTCCAAGATGTAGAAATCGATGACAGTCAATGGCATCTGCAACACAACAGCGGAGAAATACAGGAGTCTTGCTTGCAGAGGAACACTGATATTCTGGCCGAGATTCAGGGACACCACCTGGGTTTCCACAGGAGCCAATCAGAATGTGATCTTGCTAGCAGCTGTGTCACGTAGGCAAGTCCGTAGATCGTAAAATCTTTTATTATGTAAATAACAAACACATCTGGTAGTTCCAATTGTCCCCCGAAAGTTGTAAACACCCTTTGTTATGTAAATCACGGGCATAATGTCGCGTTGTCAGTACTGGCAAACAGAACAAACAAACAGAATTATTTCGAATATTTCGAATACAGCATTCAAATCCTAGTTCTTTCTTTCTCAGTCCCATTTCTGAACACGACGTAGCATTTCAGCTAAAGTGTCTGGCTACTAACATATCGTTTGATCACGACAAAAAAAACCATTCCTACAAAAGCGATTCCCCATTACTACTTGCTTATACATGCATTTTATTAAGTAGTTGTGGCGATTGAAGTGACGACTTGGTCGTCTGCTATGGTCCCAAACACGGTAAATTCTGTAACATTGCAAGCTGCTGAATTTGGTAAATATTTCTACAGAATGTCCATCCATCCTATGTTGTAACTTAATACAACTTGATTTCAACTCGATTGTTGATTCCACCCTTATTCCATTTTTTTTTCGGGTACTGTATGGAGCTTTAGGTCCCCTTTGTTATATTAGTAGGCCAGATTTGCATTGTTATTCTTCAAAATTGCTTTGCCTCGTTCTCAACTATGCTGGTTTTGAAAATGTTAGAGCAAATTGAGCGTCTTAATGTAGACAACCTCCCCATGATTGCAATAGCAGTCTACTATGACGAAGTAATCATTTCTTTAGAATACAAATTGTTTGATCATAAGTGTTTCTTTCTGCTGTCTCAATCCTACGATTTGTCATATACTATGTATGTCACCGCCGTTCTTAAGTTCTGCATTCATTAATACATTCTTTGCCTTTTCCTGAACATCCCATTTCATACTTATCCGACTTTGACATGACTGCTCTTTCAGCTTTGATGGTTATACAATTCTGTATGCACATGGGGTGGCCGATCTGTTTGCACTGAGGAACCCCACTCTAAATCTGTATCACTGATTTTAACATATGTAGACTATCATCATTTTCGGTATGCAGTTTAATATCATTGCATCTAGGTTCTGAAATATGAATACCTTGTACCCATATTGACCATTTCAGTGCCTTTCTGCAGTTGCTCCGGTGGTTTGCACAACTTAATGTATCAGCTAGGCGCTTTCCTTGGTGATTATTTAAATTAGCATTATAATACTGTTATCTCAACAACGTTCTTAGTACTTGCTTTGGAGTACTACTTCTAATGGCTTCTTAATCATTTCTAAGGGTATGTGATCAGACTGTACGGTAAATAGTGTGCAGTATATGTACTGTGTATCGTTCCATAAAGATTACCAATAACAGTTCTTTCTCTATATTTGCATATCTGATAATGCTCAACTAAGAAAACCTATTCTTGTATATTCTTGTACAGGGCTGCATCTAGATATGTTTCAGATGCATCTGATTGTAAGTTTAGCTCCTCCTCCACATTGTACTATTTTAACACTTCATATGCTGTAAATAGACATTTCACTTCCTTGATTGATTGCTTGATCATAGGCCAACATCACTCACTGATTCCGTGTGGTAGCTAAGTAGTCCACAAACTCAACTCTGTTACGACAGGAATTTTCTTAGATAATTTCTCAAATGAATCTCCAACATGGAATGCCAATATTTAAAATATTTATGTGCAATTAATTACATTCATATTTATTAATGACGTTTTTTATATTCGTATTCATAATTTGCTTTATGTGTTCATAAAATATTCATTTGTATTTATTTATTTATTTATTTATACTTTGTGAAATATGTGATAAGTGGACATAGAGGGCGCCATTCTTATAAAAATCTATACTCATGTAACTCTATTTGTATTCGTAGAATTAAGTGCATATGCATTTAATTAACGTGGACGGCGCTCTTCGTCATTAACTTTGAGGAACAATCTCGCATTGAATCTTTTCCAAGGCAAATGGACTGACCCTGTGATTGTGTCTTTGCGGAACGGTGTTTTACATTGATCCATCCTGGTTTGCCAATTTCAGAGTGTCGCTGATTGGCTCTTCCGTTGAACTTTAATTTTGGTTTTAAATAACTTGGGAAATTGTTTTAGGTTCTATGTGTCACGGGGTGTTCATAACCAGGGTGTTTTCCATGCAAAAACGACAAATGCGGTCGAATTAAAGGCTGGCTTATTATATTCACACAACGAATCATTTGGCTGTGAAAGTTGGATATTTTCTTGATTCGTAGGAATCTGAATAAAAAATGTTTCTCAACTTATGTCTCTATTTAGTTTATTACGACAGAAGGTACGACAGAAGATTGTGTGTGCAGCACGTGTCTTGGTGTACTTCACCACTACAGTACTGTCAATCAAAAATAACCTTGTGGCTTGTACATAAATGCTATTATGCTTTTGACACCATTTCAAATCGTAGGGGTCGTCAACTTGCTCAGTTTGTTGTTTGTGTGCCTTATTCAGATGTTATAAGTTGACGTCATGTGATTAGACAATTTCAATGAAGATTAATGCCTTTCAATGAAGATACAATAATAATTGATCAATATTTTACCATTATTTAAGACAATGCTGGTGCCGTGTCGTGTTGGTCCCCGCTTAGTGCCCTCCCTTTCGTTACTTGCTAGGGTAGATCAATAGGAACTCTGGAGAGGCGATGGTAAAAAAATGTTTGTAAAATATTTTTTTCAATGATGTATTCGCTGTATTTTACTCTGTGTGTAATATTTCTCATTTAACAGACGAACGCAATTATTACATACACATTATTGTATATGTTATTATCTGTATTTATTATTATCATTATTACTATTAATATTGCAATAAATATTATTATTATTATTATTATCTGTCACCGTAACGCCACAGGTTACAGCGTGCCGTAATTTTGCGATATTTTACGCGTAAGCGTTCTCTAATAATAAAAACAAACATAGCTGCCACCATGGTTTGACCGGACTTCACGCAAAGAAGTTCACTGATTCAGTTCTAAACCTTTTGGATTTCGGCATTCCCATGATGTATTCTTGGCAAGAAAAAATGTATAATAATAAGGTTATTACGAGATACCTCGAAGTATGCACTCAGACAGTACACCGTCGCATCTACCTCCACTGCACGTTGGTCGATACTGCCGCTGTACTGTCTTCGTGCATACGTTAAGGTACTCTCGTAATAACCTCATATTACTATAACCAGTTAACTTTATTGATATTTTCTAAATAAGATCGGTAGCCTATAGTGTATCGTAAATAAAGAATTATAATTTATAATGAAACGAGTTTAAATAGGTCCCATATCACAATATAAGGGAAATTACAATCTATTTATTCTATATGTTTCTCCACGAGTGGATTCAGGAATCATAACCTTCATTGTGTTGCGTGTGTTATGTATAGCAACTTCCTAAATTGTCTTTTTTTAACCCGGGCAGTTAGATCCTGGCGACCAGTTTAATCGTTTAACAGTCGTCTAACAGTGACGTCACTGTTATTATTGTACTGTTGGCAGCCGCGTTGAAGGCCAACAATAGAACAATTACACTTACATTGTTTTGGTTTTTTCCAAAGAAATATATTGACCAGATAATTATTATTTTGTATGCATAACTATTTATTCTATAATAAAAGAAAATAACAAAAACGTCTAAAATGCACATGCAGCCTTCGCTAAAAAATGTTCAATTATTTCAAGTGATTCATCTCGGACTGATGAATTTATGCAAGTCATTATATACATTGTGTTCGTAGTTCAAGTACAAGACTGTATTTATTTAATTTAATTAATGTATAACTTGAATAAATAATCAACCATTTCAAATCTATGATTTGTTATACAGTAACAGGTGATGACAAAACTTGACAGCGAGTAAATTATAACAAAACAAGCACATTGACATTTCTTTCAAAACAGTTCAAAATTCTAATATCGATAAGAAATTCTACAAGGCAAGCAATATTTAATAATGTTTATGCTAATGATAATTACACTAAAATATAAGTTGGGTAACGAATTCGAGGCGTTGTCAGTCAGTTTTTCTGCACATCTTCCTATGGACAACTGTAATTAAAAACAGTTTCAGACAATATATCAATATCGATTTGAGTAATCAACAACGAACTACATATTTGAACACAAATGTACACAGCAATACATAGTACATAACAATACAAGGTATACAACAATACATGGTATACAACAATACATGGTATACAACAATACATGGTATACAACAATACACAGTACATACTAGTAGTAAATAACAATAGAAGGTATACAACAATGCATGATATACAACAATACATGGTACACAATAATACATGGTACACAGTAATACAAGTTACACAGCAATACAAGGTACACAGCAATACAGGGTTCACAACAATACAGGGTACACAACAATACAAGGTACACAGAAATACAAGGTACACAACAATATATAGTATACAACAATACATGGCACACAACAATACAATGAACACAGCAATATAAGGTACACAACAATACATGGTACCCAACAATACATGGTACACACAAATACAAAATACACAACAATACAAGGTATACAACAATACAAGATACACAACAATACAAGGTGTACAACAATACATTATACACAACAATATACGATGCAGTCGATTATTGGGATACAACTCACATTCAACCTTATGTATTATTTTCAAATACATTATTAGTGCTCTCTATTGACAACGCTCTGGGTCAAAACGAGGAAATGTTAACTGAGCTACAGAAATGCGTTCAAAAAATGTATTGAATGTATATTAAGAGATAATTTTAATAGCGAACTAGTTTGCTAAATGACAGAATGAACAATTCTTGTAAAAAAAGTAACGTACCTTCCAAGCACCACCCAGCTGTTGCCATGCTCGGTTGCGTCATTTGTGATAGCTCCATTTGGCATTATGAATCCTAAAAACGGGTGTTGTGTTTTGTCGAGATACTTAGGACCAAGCATTCCGCATTGTTTCTCAACAAGAACTGAGTTGTCTTTGATTTCAAAACGTATTTCATTGCGTTTAGTCTGTGAATTCTTTATCCATAAAATCCACCATTTTGCAGTTACAGAGAAAATCGCCTTTACGTATTGACTAAGAACCTGAACTTGAACATTTCCATCATTAGTTATAAACGTAGTATCAGAAACCAAAACACCGTCAACCTGTGTGAACATAGTACATGAATCTGTTTAAACATTTGTATTAACGAATACATATACTCATATGCTCGTAATCAGAACATCGTATATTAGTGTGTAGTTTTTTGGCAGCAGTTATGACAATAATTTCACTCTATTGTATTCCTAGGATTTTTACCAACACATTGTTCATCACCATATTGTGGGCTAATTTCAATAATTCAAAGACATTTTGAACTACTTTACAGCCACTCTGCGTCTACATACTTTATATACAAGTTTCTATCTATATTTTTTCGATACTAGGCTATTAGAGTATATTTCATGATGCTAACTATTCTCTTGATATACAAATTTACAATAGCAATAAACTTAATCGTCATTCGGCATTTAAACATACTTGTAATCAGTTCCGTCCTATATTATTCAGCATCAGCTATTTACAGGCACGCCTTGAATACCATATTCAATGTTAGAAATAACTTTGGGTTTTAGCATTTAAAATCCCGGCGGTGTCTGGATTTGCGTTAGACACCCGGAGAGTAAAAAAGGCATGCAGATTGAAATCTATGTATTGATACCACTCTTCCAGCCATCATCGTTGATTTCAAACGGTTGACCCTATTGTTCCACGACTCTTTTGAAGTAGTCAACTAGACGACATTTTGTTTTATTTTTTGTGTATCTTCTTCCAATTTCCCGGACACTGTTTGACCGATTTTGTCGAAAGATGAGTATACAAGTCAGCCTCATAGAATGTTACCTTTATCGTTTATAAGACATACTCAGACCAAATCCAGTTGGATTTCGTATAGAGATCACAACATACATACCGGACGGGGACCGTATGATATTTGGTTTTCACATACCTGTATGGACCCATCATCTAACAGATCGAGAGTATGGCCATCAGCAATCACAGTCGCACTCTCTATACTCTCAACATTGGCTTTAACAAACACGTGTTTGACAATCATTTTCAATGAATGACTTGCTTGTAGACATGTGTCAGTCAGAATGTAACTACAAGGACCATTGAAATCAAACCGGATATTCTCGAAGGTGGTGTAGTGTGGCTCGCCTATACAGCTTGTACAATCACATGGACAATCTGTGAATAATTAAACAACGTGTGTCATTTATTGAAATGGGAAATAATTATTAAAATTATTGTTTTTATTCGGTCATGCAAATAATATACGTCATATTGTAAATCTATATAACTAATATATTTCTATACCTCGTATTGCCTTGTCAGTTGTATTTTAAGATGTTGGACGAGATGGATAAGAAGGGTCCGTCATATATAATACTGAAATAATTATTCTAAGCCTTTGATACGATAAATCACTTTATTTTAATCTCAGAACGTGAACACTATGGGTTTATATTATATCGTTATTGTTTAAGGTTTAAGAACTATTAATATTATTATATGGGGCCAATACTCTCTGTACAACAATGGTGTACCAAAATGTTTGCTAACCCTAGGGTTTATGCAGGCAATTCAAACCACATCCTCTCAATAAATTGCTAAAACATTTGTGGGAAAAAGTTTCAAGCTAATTTGCTAAATGGCACTTTGCTCAAAATAGAATCTTCATATTTAGAGCACAATTTGTAATACATATATCACACTTTGTACTAAGAATACATTCAGAGTGTACACCACACACGTGGGAATACAAAGGATGCCAACTCGAAAATTACACATTATTTGGATAAAAAAAAATAGTAAAATATATAATATAAACTATATTCTATAAGCTAAAAAGCATACTACCACACATTTTAATTATAATTTTACAGCAATTGAACATGCATAAAATGCAAAAACAGTCCTCACCAAAAAAATTGCAATTAGTTCGATGGTCCTAACATTTGTTTGCAGTGTTAATCAAAATGTTTGTATTGCTCGCAGTACAAATAATAATAAAACTATATATGTATGGTCATCAGCTCGCTTTAGAAAACATACATCTGGTTTAAATATGATAAATATGATACATACCAGTCGATGTACTAAAATTACCCAAATAAGCTGTGTCGCCATTCTTTTCTAATTGAACACTGATGTGCACTGTGGTGCATGGTTTAAAGGGTCCAATATTAGTGATCCATGATGGACTTCCAAAGTAATCGACTGGGAATTGATTAATATCTGTCCAGGTAGGCGGCATATTGGCAAGGTCAGTTGAATATTTAATCTGCATTACGCCTCCATAAAAATCTTTGGTAAAGTCAAATATCCAAAGTAGTATATTGGTACAGGTCGGCATTAGTGCGTATAACACCACAGCATCTAATGAATGCATAATATACATATTGTATGTTAATTATTTATACGATCACAGTATCCAATGAATTCATAATATACATAATGTATGTTAATTATTTATACCATCACAGCATCTAATGAATACATAATATACATAATACATAATATACATAATGTATGTTAATTATTTATACCATTACAGTATCTAATGAATACATAATATACATAATGTTTGTTAATTATTTATACGATCACAGTATCCAATGAATTCATAATATACATAATGTATGTTAATTATTTATACCATCACAGCATCTAATGAATACATAATATACATAATACATAATATACATAATGTATGTTAATTATTTATACCATTACAGTATCTAATGAATACATAATATACATAATGTATGTTAATTATTTATACCATCACAGTATCTAATGAATACATAATATACATAATATACATAATGTATGTTAATTATTTCTACCATTACAGTATCTAATGAATACATAATATACATAATGTATGTTAATTATTTATACCATCACAGTATCTAATGAATACATAATATACATAATACATAATATACATAATGTATGTTAATTATTTATACCATCACAATATCTAATGAATGCATAATATACATATTGTATGTTAATTATTTATACCATCACAGTATCCAATGAATGCATAATATACATATTGTATGTTAATTATTTATACCATCACAGTTTCTAATGAATTCATAATATACATATTGTATGTTAATTATTTATACCATCACAGTATCCAATGAATGCATAATATACATATTGTATGTTAATTATTTATACCATCACAGTTTCTGATGAATGCATAATATACATATTGTATGTTAATTATTTATACCATCACAGTATCTAATGAATACATAATATTCATAATATGTGTTAATTATTTATACCATCACAGTATCTAATGAATACATAATTTACATAATGTATGTTAATTATTTATACCATCACAGTATCCAATGAATGCATAATATACATATTGTATGTTAATTATTTATACCATCACATTATCTAATGAATGCATAATATACATAATGTGTGTTAATTATTTATACCATCACAGAACATTATGAATATATAATATACATATTGTATGTTAATTATTTATACCATCACAGTATCTAATGAATACATAATATAGATAATGTATGCTAATTATTTATACGATCACATTATCTAATGAATGCATAGTATACATAATGTGTGTTAATTATTTATACCATCACATTATCTAATGAATGCATAATATACATATTGTATGTTAATTATTTATACCATCACAGTATCCAAAGAAAGCATAATATACATAATGTATGTTAATTATTTATACCATTACAGTATCCAATCAATGCATAACATACACATAGTATGTTAATTATTTATACCATCACAGTACATTATGAATATATAATATACATATTGTATGTTAATTATTTATACCATCACAGTATCCAATGAAAGCATAATATACATATTGTATGTTAATTATTTATACAATCACAATATCTAATGAATACATAATATACATAATGTGTGTTAATTATTTATACGATCACAGTATATAATAAATGCATAATATACATATTGTATGTTTATTATTTATACCATTACAGTATCTAATGAATACATAATGGACATAGTGTATGTTAATTATTTATACCATCACAGTATCTAATGAATACATAATATACATATTGTATGTTAATTATTTATACCATCACAGTATCCCATGAATGCATAA